TCTCTGAAAAAGAAAACAAAGTTACAGCCACCTCTTTGGAGTCTTGCAAATAGCGTGGAGATAATATGGGGTGGTGGTTCTAGCACTCCATATCCGAGGCCACATTCTTGGAAGTACAGTGTCTAGCATGGACAATATATCCAAACATGTTGGTTTTTTGGATAAATAAGCAAATAGAGTAATATTGATTTAAATCATGAATCTATCTTTTCTTAATTGTGTTAGGCAGGTTGCATAACATTTCTAAGGCTCCCTTTTAAGATGAAATGGCAATAATACCTATGCTTGGGAAATCACATGAATATTAAATCAAATGATACATAGAAAACAGTAAAATATTTGTGTTATTCTTTTGCTATTTTGTAAATGGTTGTCTGTTAATGTTTTCCTTCTTTTATTTCTAAAATAAAAGAAATTTAAAAAGAAAAAAGCAAAATACATAATGAAGAGCACTTAAAAATAGCTAGCAATAATTACATATTACTATTATTATCATAATCCAAATTGTTTACCTATATAAACATTATCTAAGTTAAGTAACATTAGTTTACTTGCAAAGGTATATTGCTTCCTAAAAATTCTGACAAGTGACATGCTTGCTTTTCATGAACTAAAAAAAGTAACAAACATATAACTTAATAACTCTCCCCAAATTAAGGAAAGACTTGACTCAAATGGCACACCTTCTTTTAAAGAATGTGTGAATTCTGTGGGAGTGAGGTGTAAAAGCTGGTGTTTGAAAAATACATTAAAAATAGATCTTTAAGAAATAAAAATCTGTGTCTTCTGGCATTGCTAAAATACAGAAAACACATCTGCAGTATTTGGAATGAATGGCCAGATTGAAAACTATGGCACCTAAATCCAAGCTGGATTTAGTTTCCTGAAAACCACCCACAATTTCAAACACTATTTTCTAAATACATATGTGCAGAATTTTTTGTTAACCCAAATATTAGAAGTGATTTTTAAAATTATAGAGAAACAAGCTAGTCAGATGTGGATTCTAGCTCAAACTCCAAATTTTGCAGATGAGAATACTTAAGACCCAGAGAAATCTTAAAATCACCCTAGTGCTTTTTTCTTAGGTGGCACAAGAGAGCTCATTATATCTTGTGTTCTCACCATGAGAATTTCTGAATGAATGTTTTGGCCCAAAAGCCTGGAGCACAGTGGCAGAATCATCCTCATTTTTAGATTTATTCACTTAGTAAACTAAATGCTAGGGAGTCAAGTGCCCCTTCTCCGCTTGTTCAGAGGTAAGTAACTTGCTTCTGCAAGGCAGGCCCAAGGTCTAACGAGACCTTTTCCAGACCTTTTCTGGAAAGCTGGAATGTGTGTAAATAAATAAATAAATAAATAAATAAAAAACAAAAATAAAAAGAGTTTCACATTAATGCCATCCTTGAGGCAGAGCTTTGAAATGGTTGAAAACAAAGTCTTTCCAGTTCTTTTGAGACTAAACTCCACGGAAGAACACATATAGCATAAACATAATGGCAAGGTGCAGATATATGTGGACATCATTGGAAAATAGCTTGCATAACCCTAGAGAGGAAAAGGTGATCCTATCTGTAGATCTTCATTTCTATTTTTTAAATTCTCTCTCTTCCCCCTCATTTCTTTTTTTCTTTTCAATGATAAAGCTCTATTATTTCACACATATAAACCAGTCAAGTGAAAAGTTCTGAATTAGAACAGGAGGCTGAGGAAATTTCTTCAAGATTAATTCCACACGCTCTTAATAAGTGTTATCTCGGGGTAAGGGGATGACCAGAAAAAACTGTGTGAGTTAAATTTAAAATTTCCACTAAATTACTTGTTAGTGCACCTTTTATAGGCTAACATTCAGGTAGATTCTTAGAAGAGTTGCACAAAATATAATCTTAAGCATTTTTCTAACTTTGATTTTTCCCTCATAAGTCCTACTTTAGTATGCGAGAGCACGAATAACCACAAAGCATTTAACTACAACTTGCAAATTCCCAAGCACATAAAATGCCATAAAAGAGAAAATTGAAAGCCAGTTATTCCTTGAATGTATTCTTGGTTCTTCCAAAGATGGGTCCCTACCTCGGGAGAAGCAGGGAATAGTTTGTAGTCAAAATGAAAAGCAGGCTTGTCATATGGGTAAGTGTTTTCAAAACAAAAGAACTACACAATGAAAAGGTGAGACTGGGAGAAGCCATAGGAAAGCATGTGTCATGCTCAATACTGAAAAATTAAAAATGAGATTCCTTGCTTCCCAGCACAGAAAGAATGGAGGAAGTTGGAGATGGTTCATCCCTTATCTGTCTCCTTCTTCTATCACACCTCTTGTGGGCCCCCTAAGGGATTCCTCAAAATGTGCAGGCTCTACAGCGTACAGTTAAAAATAACAGATTCTTACGTGTACATGATTTCCTCATTTTCTAATTTCGAGAGGGAGGGGGTAAATTATTATTTACCAGAATAATTAGTGTTTGTAGAAAGTGAGGCTATTAAATTAGAGACCTCAGTTAATGAATGCTTGGATTTGACGAGCTGGCTTCAAGCTGAGGAAGGCCAGAAACAGTGAACAACCATACACAAGAACCTAGAGGAGACTGGGGGGTCCCCACAGTAGTCTGAGTGTGGGGAAATTTGTCCCAAAGATGATGAAATAAAAGAATAGGAGGAACAGAAGATTTAATCAAATGATGGAAGGCAGAGGTACAAGGCAGTGTACATAATATCCAGGAAGATATTTTAGAAGTCCAATTAATTTTTTGAATTATGTGTACTACAGTGATTAGAAAACTTTCTACCTCAGATCTTATGCAAAGTCTGTAAGAATTAGTCGGAAGCAAGTTCCATGTCTCAAAATAGAAAAAGGAAAAATCACATGGGACAACTGACCCCAGAATGATGCAATCTGGCAATATGGGGCTTAAATGATAATATTGGAAATCTCAACATTGGCACAAACTACAGAGAGGACCTTGTACTTGTACAATGCATACAATGAAGCGTTGAAGACTTTATACAAATCTCAAGGAACAAAGGGATTCCAGCTCAAACCTGCAAAACAAAAGAAGCTGAGACTTTGCAAAGAATCCTCACACTGCAATGTCTTGTTACACTCACTACTTCCAAAGGCTGATAACCTTAATGAGCTGGTTTATAGTCCTAGTAATAAATTAGCCACATCTTCTTTGATGGGTAACCAACTTTAAATTCAGCATGGCCCTGACTGCATAGCCCACATTTCCTCCCCAATCCCTGTCTTTGTTTCCTGCTTCTGTGAATGCCTCTTTCATTCCACTTCTCAGTAAGAAATCTATCCTTACCTTCTGCCCTTATTCATACCTCAAAGCTAACTCATCACTAAACCATCCTAAATTTGCCCATTACCACTTTCTCAGTTTCCTCACTTCAGCAGGCTAGCTTGCATTAGCTTGCTGGAGCCATTCTAAGCATCTCCTGACCACTTACTTTCTCTACTCCACCTATCTTCCAAGGTGCGTCAATTATAATCGAAACTGTAGACCTGGTCAAGTCACTCAACGGCTAAACACCATTATTTAGCTCCCATTACTCACAGGATGAAGTTCTCTGTAGCCTGGATAAAAGATTTTTTGCACACATACTCTTATATCCTGCTGCAAGTTTCATTTCTTGTCATTCCTCACCTTGTGCATCGTGGTCTGAGGCCACCCGTACTATTTTCACTGATAAATATTTTCTCCTCTACTTGACTTTTCTTACAAAGGCCTAACTCTTGCAAAACATCCATGCTTCTTACTATAATTCAAGTTATCAATAAAAGGTAAAAATAAAATATTTGATAAAAGTTCATGTCCTCTCTTCACATACTGTTCATATTATTTAATATTCTTAACATCTGGTAATCCAAGTAACTTTGTTGAAGATAACAATATGTAATATAATAGCCATTGTTAATTCACTATTATCTTGTTTTGAAATTCTCTATCATTTTTATTGTGTTTGTGTTATTTTATTTTTATCTTTGTTGTTATTTTATCATTTTTCTCTTTAAAATATTTTAATTCAATAGAATAAATACTATGCATGATTCTCCATGTTGTGTCACATTTGTAGGAAAGAGCTATGGAGATCTTTGTAACTGCTCAAATTATACCTTGCTGGGAAATTCTTCTCTCCATGATTGGCAAGGTTTGACCAATGGAATGCCCATTTTCTGGAGGGCAATACATTCCAGTAAGCTACAGGCACAGGTTACGCCTAGAGAATGGAGCCCACTTAGTGTTTTCCTTGGATTCCATTTTCATGTTAAGGGCCTTAGGCAGAACATTGCACTTTTCTGAACTCATTTGTAAATCTGTAAGACATATCTACTTTCCAAGATTGTTATGCATAATAAATGGCATTAGGCATGTAAAAACTACTCTTCATACGATTGAGAATGGTTTTTTAATCTTTAAGCACTGCATATATGTGCTGTAAGGAAAGAATCAGACCTAGAATAAAAATACAGAAGTTCTAGGCTTGATCTGTGTTCCACAAAACTATGTTGAAGTCCGATTTCCATACCTGTGAGTGTGATACTACCTGGAGATAGGGTCTCTACAGATGCGATCAAGTCTAGGATGAGGTCATTAGAGAGGACTGTAAGCCAGTATGATTGGCGTCCTTATAAAAAGGAAAAAGGAGAAGGCAAAGACACACAGGAAAAAGGCCATGTAAAGAAGAAAAAAGATAAGGAGTGATACAGGTATACGCCAAGCATCGTCCAATATGAATCACCAGCTATCACCAGAATCTAAGTGAGAAGCATAGTTCTACTTCGGAATCTTCAGGCGCCAACTCCGCTGTTACCTGACTTCCAGTCTCCGTAACTGTGAGATAATATATATCTATTATTTTAAGACATTCAGTTTGTGGTACTTTATTATGACAGCCCAAGGAGCTAATACACAAAAATATAAATTTTAACTCTATACTTACTAACTGCATGGATTTGAGATAAACTGTATGACCTGATATTTTAAGGCACTTACCTTTCTGTGATTGTTTCTCTGAGGCCACTTGCCACACCTTTGACCACAGTGCTAGCTTTGGGGGTCAGCACCACCTGAGATATAAAAAATGAGCCCTTCTTTCTTCTTTCAGTGATGGATGCCTGAAGAAACTGGATCAGCTTTTCAGGGTCCGTGGTGTTGGCCCAGGGTGCTGGCATCATCTGCCCAGGCCAGAGAAAGGGCACTTCCAGAGCCACTGGACTGTGGTAGAAGACTAGCACTTGGTAGTCCTTCTCCCACAGGTACTTTAAACTAACTTCCTGGGCAAAAATTGCTGGGCACATTTTGTTTCCATAGATATCCTTCAGCATTTGGACAAGTTTTTCATGGTGATATTTCTGCATGCCGTAAAAATGATTGAAGTCCAAGAATACCACCTCCTTATGGTGATCCGTGAGGAATGCATTGATCTCCTCAAGACCTTCATTGACTTTGGCACTGAACAAACCATGAGCAAAGTAGAGTTCATTGTCAGGGTCTCTGGGCTTGGTAGAAATTCGAAGATCAAAATAACGGATTCCAGCTCCTAGCTGACCAGTAAAGTTCATTGTCTGAGTGGCCAACCATTTCCGCATCAGCTTCTTGGCTACAGTTCCAAATACAGAAACAAAATTCTGGACAGTTTCTGGCTGTTCGGGACCTACTGGAGAGGCTTCATCAATGTAGAAGCTGAAGGAATCATGGGACCCTAGGAAAATAACAAGGCATAGAGTGGTTACTGCCAAGTCTTTCATCCTGTGCAACTTCTTCCCCTCTTGCAATGCCCACAATTTCCTTCAGATAAGCTAAAAGAAATACTGGGCTGTAGTAGTTAATTCTACCATCTTCACGTATCCTTTTTGTCACCTAGTAAAGGACAGAGAGCCCTTCAGTCAACCAAATTGTTTGTAAAATAATAACATTTTCTTTACATCAATATTTAAAAATTCAAATAATGATTTCCTCCAGTGAACCAAGAATTCAATGCACTTTCTAAGTTTGGATTTTGTACACATGGCACACGTGATCATTGATAAAGAAATAGGTAGAAGAACTCGTTAGTTTTCAGATCCTTTGTCTGTATTCTCACCTTTTCTATTCATTTTTAGTTGATTTTGATCCTCTATGGATTGCCTTAATGAATAATTTAAATTCAGGCAGGTAATCTATATGAATTGTTGCTTCCTACACTTTTCTTAAAAATGAAGTTACATATCTCCATTTTTCTCATTTAAAAATTAACAAATGTTCATTATAAAAATACAGTATGAAAGAAATATGCAATGAGAAGCAAAATTTCTAGAAATAATACTGGAACTTGGTTGCTTATACTCTTTGAAATTTTATTTCTCTCTGACCGTAATATGTGATACAATTATAACTTGTTTATTTTTACAAAAATGCACCTTGTACACTTTGGAAAGGAAGTATAAGACAAGAGATCACAATGCTGATATATTTTACTTCATGCTCGACCTTATGTGTGAGCAATTGTGAACTTAGAAGAGACCAAGCACTTTTTACATATTGAAAAAACAAAATATTTTTCTTGCAATTTCACATAACTTACAGCATTTAAAAATTAAACTAATAACTACTTTATTGACAGATATTTCTTTCAATAGCAAAAGTTCCTAGATGTGGCTTCTGAATTTAGAAGAATTTCTTACTCAGAAGAACAAGGACTATGTATTTATTTTTGGCAGTGGTAAGTCTCAATGCTCCATAAACGTTGCAATGAACATGTGTATGATTTACTTATAAGTGCAGTATGCCACTTAAAATATAATTGGAACCCAATAAAGAAAAATTATTTCAAGGTTGAGTTTTGCTTTTCAAATCTTTATTTAATTCTTGGGCATGACTTCCTGCATGGCTCAAATTTAATGAATATATTCTGGATCCTTTAAAGGATCCCTTGGAAGGGCCAGATACACTTCAAATTCTGACATGAATGCATAAATAAATCTTGTTTTTTCCCTTGATAATATGTCTATTCCTAGTTAATTTACTGACCCTTAATCACTAGACTCAAGATGGGAAAAGAAAATTTTACTTCCCAACACGGTCAGCAGGGAGCAGCCCTAGCAGCTAAAGGCTTCAGTTCTATAATCGAGGAAGAATGTTTCAACAACTAGCAAATAGCAAGCCTTAGGCTTAAAAAAGATTGCAATTTTGGTCAACACTTCGCACCCTGGTGAGATCATAAACACAATACTTGGCAAATTCCTGATTTATAGGAATTGCTACAGAAATTTAGCGTAAGATGACTATATTTGTGATAATTTCATGCAAAAATACAAAATTCTTCTGTCTGGTAAATTATATTTAATGAGTTATTAAATGACTTGATTGTATCTGATATGAAGTGACACATAGGCATTAAAATATATTTGAAACAGTAGGTACTAGTGTAATTTAGACTTTATGAGTAAATGAATATTTATTTCGATTCCCTGTGTAAATGGGTATAGTGGCTTGAGATAATTACATCACTCTAATTAAAAGTCCCCATTAATTGAAATTAATTTAGCTCCTCTGTATGGAAAACTAGATCTACTACTATTCTCTTCTGCAAATGTTTGCTTCAGGTATAGTGGTCCACTTCATGGTAAGCAATTTTTCTGATTCTTTAATTCATTCATCATCCATTCATTCATTACTATAATATGCAGAAGACAAGATTTGTTCCCATCCTCATGAATTATGGCTTACTATGTAATACACAAAGGTAAATAGTTACAGTACAGTTTGGCAACCAATTTTTAGGATGTGTTGGAATAGCAAGCAGAAAATGTGTGATGATTGATTATCAATGGTTTATACAAATAATTTGAAAAGACCTAGAATAAATGGGAAAGAAGCCTCGCTCTTTGGAGTAAAGGACGAAAGACTCTGGGAGTCACGCAAGTCATAGGGAATGAGTACATCAGTGGATGAGTTTGCCTTCATTTCTCACTTCAGCCTTGTCAAACACTGTATCTTGCCCTCCAGCGGTTCATAATTTGGGTAGGGAGACTGGGTGTAGACACAAAGAATGAATATTTGTGTCAGACAGCATTTATTTATTCTTTCAACAGATATATATTTCACCAAGTTTCTTTAAGGAGTTTAAGATTGGGCATTGTGCAGTAAAAATAATCCAATTGGGCATAGAAGGAATATATTAACACGTCCATTTTTATTTATGTATTTATTTTAAAATAGGAAAACTAGGCTTTTGCAACATTTCACACAGGTGCTGACACTATTATCCTTAAGGTAGCTAATGCCACATTCAGTTTTCAGGGCTCAGAACACACTTCTTCAAGACATGGCATATTTAAAGTCATTGATGTATTTATTTTTCATCTTTCTGTGTGATGGCTGGACAAAAAGGACTCGTCTGACCTGTCTCACCCAAAAGTAGATCTCAAGGTTCTTACGTGACAGGGGTCCTATCCCATATCCTGGGGAGGAATGTCTTAGAGAGTCACCAAAGAGACTCTGAACAAAAAAGACTTTGTTGTGTCTCCCGTGTTCCCCAGTTTAACACCATTACATCAGACTTCTTTTTTTTTTTTTTTTTTTTTTTTTTTTTTATATATGGAACTT